TGTAAGGCTAAAAAATTACCAATTCCTGTTATGTGTCGTTATAGGATACCAATTTATCTTAAAAGAAATATTTTATTTTGACAACAACTGGATTAAAATAAATTTGTAAAAATTGTATGGGGCGCGCTATTTGGTCGCCCCTTTTAAACTTGTAGCCGCTTTGTTTTCCTGTTTGCATCCGTACCCATTTTTTTGTTAAAAGCATTTTAAAAAGACTAATTTGCCCTTCTTTATTAAAAGACTATTTTCTCTCCAAGTATACGCTAGTCCTCTACTGTCTCTGTCTCTCTCTCCCGTTATTCGCGTTTTCTGATTTGTTCTTCTCTGAAATCAAACGGTTTTCATTGTTGTTTTTGATTTTTCAACTGTTTGTTCCCCAATAACGTTACGTAAAATCACATGTACATTGCATTAACTTTATGGGTTTTATTTTAGTATTAATTTTTACGATTTAATTTCTGGTTTTGGTTTTGATAGTCATGTATTTATGATAAAATAGTTTCTTAGGGTTTACTTCGATAAGTGCATTAATTTTACTTTTAAGATTGTGTTTTTAGGTTTTTTGAACGTGTATTTGTATTTTTGAAGAAAATTCTATAAACTCTTCAGTGATTGTTGGAGACGTCGAAATTTTTAAAAATTTTGAGAGTTAAATAGATGATACTGTTAAAGTGTGAAGTTTATAATACTTCAATGATACCTTAGTTTTAGGAGCTGAAGTTTTATTTCGTGTTTTGTGTTTTTTGTTTTATTTTTATGAATTTAGCATTATTTTGGAGTTGAATTTGTATTTTGTTTTTTGTAAAAACTACAGCATATTTTTACTGAAAGTTTTGTTTTGTAACTGGTGAACTTCAGCTCTAGGAGCTGAAGTTTTTGTTTTGTATTTGCTGAACTTCAGAGTTTTAATTGATTTTTTTGATAATGTTGTGATGTTATTTTTGTGTCTTTTACTTTTTTTTTGAATAGATGGCATCTAGACAATCCAAATCACCTACAAATCCTAAAGCACCTAAAGATCCTAAAGCAGCTAAAGCACGTAAAGCAGCTAATGCACCTAACGATCCTAAAGCACCTAAACAATGTAGAATATCCACATGTCCTTTAGTCCCTACTGCTCCACCTACAAAACCAAGGGATAGATATTATGAGTTTCGAGATTGGTTTAACTGTCGTGGTTACTGGAAGGGGAACCACGATTTGAAGAGTTTAATTGCAAGTTTCTTAACTCCTGCACAATAGGATAAGCTTAATAATGGTACATTTCGATATATTATGGCTATGGAGAATTTCAAATGCAGCATGAAGTTGGTTTGTTGTTTGTGTCTTTCTCGAATATTCACCAATGATCGAGACTCCATTAGCTTCAAGATTTTTGGCCATGATGTATCCTTCACCCTTGAAGACTTTCATATTATGTGTGGTTTGCAGATCACAACACATAATGTTGAAAAACTAATTAATCGAGAGAGCAATATTCTGAAGCGCTATTTTGGGAAGTCTAAGGGTGTGACCTTGAAGGATATTCGAGATTTTACGACTCAAAATGCAATTCAAAAGAATGATGTGAATTTCCGACACGTATGCGAGAGTAATGAAGATGCGGTAAAGCTTATGGAAATTCTTGTTGTGGAGTCTATTTTGTTTGGAAAAAAGACTGAATCATCTGTGCTGGAGGAGTATGTAGCTATTGTTGAAGATGATAAGCCTTGTGCTGAATATCTTTGGGTAATGTGTGTTATGTAAAGCTCATTACCTCACTGAAACATGCATTGGACAAGCAGAACAAATTTCATTCAACTGAGTATAAAGTTGGTGGATTTCCATATCCGTTATGTGTTTGGTTCTATGAGCGCTTTTCAGATATTCGAGAGAAGTATTTAAGAGAGGATGAGTACCTTGATACCCCTCAGGTTCCTAGGATGTTACATTATGTATGTGTGGGAGAGCCTAAATATATTGAACTTTTTGAGGATTACTTCAATAATCATGCTATAAGTTTATGTTTTTTATTTTTGTCTTTGTGTTAATATGTTGGCGTATTATTATTTTTTTCATTATATACTTTTTTGTATTAAATAGAGATATCACACATTTAGGGTATTGGATATAATTCCTACAGAAGAAGAATTGAATTTAATGCTTAATTGGATAATTACCATGCATCCGGATTCGTTCAAAGGTACTTAATGCGGTTCCTTCAACTGGTGAATCACCACGTAGTCAGAGTCGATCAAAAGAAGCGAATTGAACTCCTGTTATTGGTGAATAATCTCATACCCAGACTCGTTCTAACCATTCTACAATGATGTTTGACAATGAATTAATCAACACAATATGTTCTGTAAGTTTTGAGCTGAAGTTTTTGGTGTATTTTTGTAAAACTACAACATGTCTTTGAGCTGAAGTTTTGTTCTATTTGTGATGAACTTCAGCATTATAATAGCTGAAGTTGTGTTATAGATTTTACTGAACTTCAACATTCTTTTATACCGGAAGTTTTGTTCTTTGTCTCTATACTAGAGGGTAACGATGGAGGTTCAAAGGCATGCAGAAAAAGAAAGAAGCATGATCGCGAAAGAAGTTGTCGATCAGTTTAAACAGGATGAGCGATCTGCTATTGTTGATGCGGTTTTTGTAAAAGTCAAGGTAAGCTAATTTATAGAGAAGTCGTTTTTTCTGCTAATGTTATTTAGATTAATCATTGTTAGTAATTTTTTTCTAGGAATATTTTGATGAGATATTTAAAAAGTTGTTTAAGATTGCTGACAAATCAAATGGAATGGACGATTGCAATTTTGATTTGATGAACTATCGATAATATGATAGGATGAACGATTCTTTCGAACATCTATCGAATATTAATGCTGCTCATGATGCCTCGCATGAAGTCGCAGATGAAAATGCTACACATGAGGAAGCGACTCTTGAAGGTGATCAACATGTTCAACAACAAGTTGAAGAGGAACGTCCCAGTGTTGATAGACTGAGTAGAGATGGAAATGATGAACAATTATCAACTGAGAATGTTGGAAGCAAGCAAGGTGCAGATGATCAAGTTGTTGATACTGAAGAACATGTTTCTCATGATGCATCGCATAAAGTCGTAGATGAAAATATTACACGTGAAGAAGCGGCTCTTGAAGACGATCAACATGTTCAACAACAAGTTGGAGAGGAACATTCCAGTGTTGATAGACTGAGTAAAGATGGAAACGTTGAAGAGTTATCAACTGAGAAAGGTGCAGATGATCAAGTTGTTGATACTGAATAACATGCATCGAGTTGTGCTTTAGGCAGTAATATTGCAAAAGGCAATTTGTTTGGCGATGGAGATCATACACCTGTTGATACTTTAGAACTGACATCGAGTGATGTGTGTATCACTATTGGGAAAGGGAATCGGTTTGCAGACGCACTAGCTATTTGCAAGGAACTTGTAGTTCTAGATACACAAGAAATTTTTACTGCATGTATAAATTTTTTCTATGTTATATATATATATA